GTATAGATATTACCAAAGAATTGTGTTTTGTTATTTAGAAAAGAAACACATAGTTCTTTTTCACAGGAATGTATAGGATATTTTATGAGCAAAGGCATCAAAAAAATTCTTCCAGCTTCAAGTTGTTGCAAACCTACCTGCTTGGTTACAAGCCAAGTGGGTATTGATATTTGCTGCTCATTTAGACAATTTATTGTTGACTTTGAGAAGTAGATATATGTTGGGCAATCCCAGACTGCATATCAAAAGTGGAATGATTACCCAATGAAATGTTATGGCTCTAATTTCAATTTAAAAGCAGACACAAGCTAAGAAGAGGAGGAAAAAAATATTCACAATGCACATGTTAAAATATAAAAATGAATGGTTTATAGATTAATTTTCAACTTTCAGCAAAACCCTTGAGAGTCCTGGAAAAATGACTTGGAGTTTTGCCCAATTACCAGGTTACATACTGTTGCCGAAATTCAGTTCTCTTCCCCAGAGGCATTAATTGAGATTATAGGATACACAGAGCAAAACTGGAGATTATTTTAAAAAATCTTGATTTTTAAAATAAGCTTTTATGTGTACATAAAAGCATGCATGCAAATATCTTGCATATACACATATATATGTATACGTATTTTTCTATGTAGATAAGTTATGTCTATCGTCACTGAGCCCTACCAACTAAAACGTAATGAATCAGTTCGCAGTGCACTAACAGATTTAAGTCTTATGCATTCTGGATACTCTGGGTATAGGACTAACAATAATTAAATAATAGCCTTAACTCTACAAAAATGCAGTGGGTCTTTTCCTTTGGCTCAGACTTCTGGCAATAAAACGCAAAGAATCAACACACTGTTTCACACCATTCACCTTCAAAACTATATTTCAGTTAGACTAATGGGAAAGTCTCTCTCTATACTGGCATCTACTTCACTTTCAAAGCAAATACATAGAGGACATGTTTCAAGAAATGAAAAGATAATATAACCTCAAATAAATAAGTCCTTTCTAGGACATAAGTAATGATTGCACTGTGTGTTATGTAAGCTTTGGTGACAGTGCTCCAGTAAAGACATCCATTTATCAGTCTAAGCAAGTAACTTCATGTCCTGTGAATGGCAGAATGAGTCCAGCTTCAACTGATTTATGAAGTGAGATTTTTTTATTTTACTGAATGCTTGAGAAAAGGACCTGCAGGAATGGCGGTTCATCTTTTCTGTTCAAGTATCAATTCCTTTTATTGCTTTTGGTTTGTGTCTGTGGCAGACATTTTTGCCTCATTCACCATCTGCTAATGTTAAATAAGGAATGTTTAACTCTGGGCTACTCACGATGAATTGCCCCAAGAATGTAACTGTATGTTTACTATCCTTCTCACATGCTGCTTAGCGTGTCACACAGAGGGAAAGTTTCTGGCCTGGGAGCCAGCACGAAACATGTCATATCCATCTTCATATGTTCTTTTGTCTGTGGTGACCCCTGGGACATAGTAGGCATTAAAAAAGAAACTGCAGAATCAAGTTGAAATATCTTCTGCACCTGCTGGGGAGGCAGCAAAGTGTGATGGTACCAGAAATATGACTGAGGGCCAGAATATTTAGTCCTGACTCTGCCACTTACAGAAGGGTAGAATTAAGGGCAAACTTTAGGACCTTTTGGACACTTGGTAAGCTCATCTAGCAAACAGTAATAACCAATCTACCTTGCAGAACTGATGTGGATATTAAATCATAGTGAATGTGAATTGCCAGTTACCAAAACAAGGAGGATGGGGACCAGAATTTCTGTAAATACATGTAAACAAGGGGCCATTGCTAAGGGAGAGAACAGTCTAGCAAAATGACACTGTCCCCTCCCTTAAACCTAGCATTATACAGGAAAATGGATTCCAAGTGTGGCTTTAAAAAGCATATGGATAGAAAAACATGCTCATGCATGTGTGCATACCACATACAATCTCAAAAGGCATCCTGGAGCTGGAAAGACATGAAGGACAGGTAGAGACAAGATTGATCTATTTATCTTGGTCGTAGGCATGGGCTGTGGGCTGGCCTGTATATTTTGGCTGATTTGTTGTTGTTGTTGTCCATTCTCTACTCTCATATCAGCAGGAGAAAACACATCATCCTCTTCCCTCTAGAGCTGCCCGGCTCATCATTATGGCTTTTGAAGGATTCCCCCAAATTCAATGCTCAGGACATTCATTCTATTTTCACTCTTCTCGGAATGTAGTCCCCTGAGTCTACTAGCACATCAGGGCCACAAGTAGCCTCAGAAAAAGCATGAAGGATTTATCGTACTTTAGGATTTTGGACTACAGAGTGATAGTTTTATGCTACAACAAACGTGCAGACATCTTATGGGGTAAAATATAATATGCTCATAAATTTTTAAGACAAAACAGTGAATGCTAAAGAAAATTGAAGCAAGCTGGTACAGGGTAGAACTACAGACTAAAAGCGAGTTCAGTTCCCAACTTACGGGTGTACTTCCCCTCCCTTGGACATTCAGAGTGACTTCCAGACAACAAATGAAAAACAGTGCTTAATGGAAGTCCTGAGAGACAGTTCTAAGCATTTCATAAGGAAGTGAGTGTTCTGAGGAAAAAGCTGTCTCCCCAAAAGTGGAATTCCATTGCAATCTATAGTACAAAATGTCTCATTCTAAGTAACATTTGGCAACTAATTCTATTTCCACTTGCTGATTGATTACACATATTAATAGACTAATTCAAGGCAACTAGAAAATCAATTAGGTGAAAAATATCCCATCTAGTCACAAATATGTAATTGGTAAAAATTGCTGGATACAAATTTCTTCTGGTCCACTTTTAAATATTGGTACACCGTTACGTACTCTTAATAAAATGATTTGGCAAGCACTCACATAGCAAATGTTACTGAGACTATATTATGTGCAAATCATTTCATTTCTTACAAAAAGGAACAAATTTTGAGGCTTGCTTTCAAGAAATCCACAATCTAAATAGACACTGTCCAACAGAATGACGATGTAAACCAAATACGTAACAGAAATTGATGACCATGATCTTAGACATCTAATATTCCTTTTAATAACATATTTTTAATTCAGTAACTCTAAAGTACCACCCTCCCAAGATGTGATCAAGCTAAGAAGGACTAATGAGGTATTTTTACATTCTTTTATCATACTATGACTTCAAACTTTAATATTTTACACTTAAGTGTATCTCAGTATGGACCAGCCAAGTTACAAATGATCAATAGCCACATGTGACTGTCAGCTACTGTTTTGGGCAACAGAGACCTGAACTGTTAATAAATATTTATTAAGCACACAGTTACAAACTTGCAGTCCCTGGAGACAGGATGGTAAGTGAGATGTTATCTCTGTTCTCACAAAGCACGCATTCTAGTAAGGACAGCAAAGAACAAGTAAAAGATCATTAGAAATGGTTAGGGTTGCTGTAGAGGAAACAAGCAAGTAAGTGACAAGTTTTGGGTCAGAATAGAAGCAAGAGTCAGTGGAGGGAGGAGCAAAGGGTTCTCTTCCAATGGTTGGGGAGTGGGGAAGATATCTTTGAAAAGAAGCTACATTTATTCATTTCTTATTGCTGCTGTGTGAAGTAACCACAAATTTTAGGGCTTAACAATGCTAATTTGTTACCTTACAGTTCTAGAGGCCCAAGGTCTGAAATGTGTCTTATAGGCCTGAAAAGAAGACCTTGGTAGGGTGCGTGTCTTTTGGATATACTAGGGGGAAATGTATTCCAGGCTTTTTCAGCTTCTAGAGTTGGCCTACATCTGTGGTCAAAGGCAACAGTCACATCAGCCGTTTCCAACCTCACATTTCCTTCTCTGATTCTGACTCCCCACCTCCCTCCCTCACTTAGAAGGATTCTTGTGAGGGCACTAGACCCATCTGGCTACATCAGCACTGTCCCACCCTCCCAAGATCCTTAATCACATCTGCAAAGTCCCCTTTGCCACATAAGGTAAAGCGTGTATAGGTTCCTGGGGGTGAGGACACTGGCAACCTGAAGAATAAAAAGAAATGAACGAGAGTATTTCCATCCAGAGCCTAAGTAAGAAAGAACTTGGCAGGTTCAGGGTCCTGGAGGTAGATGAGGATTGCAGGAGCCGAGAATGCAAAGGACATGTGCAGAACGAGGCTGTTAGTGGGCCAAGGCTGGGTCACGCAGAGCCTTTCGGGTCCTACGAAGTTTATATTTATTCTGTTACAGTTGGAAGCTTTCAAACAACAGAGTCAGGCAACCTAGAACATGTAATGGCTGAATCAGTCCAGTGGCCGGATGAAGACAGGCAGAGCAGTACTCAAATGGAGCAAGACCAGTGAGGACTGACATCAAGCTGATTCACAGTGTCAAGACAAAGGGCAAACACAGCCCAGTCAGTGACGATGCTGGTCACAGGGTTAGATATTAATCAAAACTTATAGAACTCTACACTTGAGATCAAGCATTTTATTGCAAGTAAGATTTTAAACACCTTCACATATGAAATTAATTTTTCGTCTATTACAAATAAAGGTAAGCGATTTCTGACTTTGTGGATCTGAAGTAGCTCGTCTTTAGAACTTTATTTCAGATAGCAGAATGTACAAAGCGTAGCGGTGCTGTTCATCTCATTCCAACTGCCTGTTTGACTTGTCCTTCCCTGAGAATTCCATATTTTCCCCATTTGTTATCCAAATTGATCTTAGGATGAAAACTCCATTGGATGCACCTTCATTCACTAATTCATTGATTTGTGCATGTGTTCTATATCCCAGCCACTGTTTTAAATGTTTTATGTGTATTAACCCAATAAATCCTCACAACAATCCTACTGGGGAGATACTGATATTATTCCCATCTTATAGATGAGGAAATTGAGACACAGAGAGAAAGATTTTGCTTAAACTGTAGAGCCAAGGTTTGAAACACACATGCTCCTACACACACACACACACACACACACACACACACACACACACTTCAAATATTGCAGGGCATCTGATCCTACCTGTGTCTTGTGTGCAATAGTTTTGCATCCTGTAGGACAGATTTTTCTGGGAGAGGCTGATGACCAGGAACTACCCGTCTTAACAATCCTCTGTGAGTTTATTTCTTACTTAATGCCGGGAGAGCGGTGAAACAGCTGTGTCACCACCTGTTAGAAGAAGAAAGGAAGGACAAATGGATGAGGGTAAGGTTGCAGTCATCTGGAAAAGAAAGTGTGAAAGTTGACAATGACCTGTGCCCAAAGGCAAGCCCCCACCACATGACCCTCTCTCTGTCTTTGACAATCGGGGCAAACATTTGCATTAAATTACTGAGAAGAGGATATGCCAGGCAGACAAGGTGATGTAATAGAAAAATCACCACACTTCTGGCAGCAAGAGACCCTGATCCTTGCTGCAGACCTGCCAGTGAGTTTGCACAGACTCTTATTCCCAGGTTTGAGTGTTTGCGTTTTCTTGCAGGTAAAGTGAGAGGGCTGGAGCAAGAGGTCCCTGCAGGCTCTCGCAGATTCTGAAATAACTGAGACACCAGGAAGTCAAACACCTCCTACATTTCTGAAAGGTGGAATGTGGGCCTGAATGACAGGTAAACAAGACCATTCCTGCTGCAAGAATGCTTGGCACATGCATTACATAGGTAAAGTCAAACACGAAAAAGAAATTCTGCAGCACTTTATAAAACATGAAGATAATCTCAATAGGAAGATAACTTCAAGTTGCACCATAATAAAATTATAAAAGAAGCACAAACATCTATTTTCCTCAGTGTTCCAGATTTCCCCCAATTTGCATTTGCTGAAATCTGTGTGTTTTCTTTTTTCTTCCACCTCATTAGTTGTACAAACAAGCACATGAAGCATTTATTTCAAGTATGCAAATTTTAAAAACAATGAATGTTATTACATGCTTCTTTTGTGTTCCATTGTAATAAAACCTATTGTTTCATCAGTCTATTTGAGTGTGCTTTGACCTATGCTGGAAAAACCACTCCAATGTTCAAGCTCATCTGTGAAATGAGAGGACCCAGGGGGACAGTTGCCACTATTTCCCTCCCCATCGAATATTATATAATTCCCCATGGAAATGATTATAATAGGTCAACAGCACTGTCACTTGATACAAAGGGGAGGACTTCACCCATAGGCTGGAAGCCCAGAAATAGGATAGGGCCAAATATTTCACTGAATAGAGAAAACTCTTCCAATGGCTAGCAACATGTTTTCCAAATCAAGATAAGATTTTTAAAAGAACTTAGAGGTCACACAGTTTGCTTCCTTGTCAAAGCAAAGAGTCTAGAAAAATTCTGTAATGAGGTATTTTGATGCCAAGTTTATGCTCTTCACCAAAAAATAAAAAGATAAAATTCTTTTTTTTTTGGTTTTTCTCCGGTACCGGGAACCGAACTCACAACCTTGCGCTGGCCAGGCAGGCGCTTTTGCCGCTGAGCTAAATCCCCAGCCCCAAGGATAAAATTCCTAAAAGCAGAGAGCCTGACAGAAGTTACCTCTCTTTCAGTCAGCTTTTCAACATGATGCAGGTATGAGAAGTGAAACACCAGGCCTAAGATTCTACTTAGATTATGATGATGCTTTTAATTTAGAGTCATCTCTGGGTTTTATTTAAAAATAAAGTTAAGATTTGTAATATAATTCACTGGGCACTCAATACCAACCTTAGACTCTATATGTTTCTTGCTTTATATTTACAAAATTGTCAGTACATATTGTCAAAGAACTCCTTCATTTTTATCAGCCATTTCCATGATGAAAACAATGGAGTAATTGAACCAATAAATTAGGTAAAAAGTAAATTGAGCAGTGGATTCATATATTTCTAGTACAATGCAACAAACCACCTCTTGGACAAGACAATTGTATTGATTTTTCTTTAGTCTTGTTTATCATTACTTAGACCCAATGACAAAGCAAACAGCTACGATACTCTGTTTTCATGACAAAAATCATGTGTTGCCTAAAAAAGAATACACTAAGAAGGAAATTAAAAGCACAATCATACTTTGTCAGCATAGAAAAATATTTACAGATAGTAGTATTTTAGTAATCATTCAAGAGAAGGATTTGTCTTTCTTTCTGGTTTACTGAATTCTTTTCTTCTTAGTGGCCAGAGATATCCATGCTGAAGGCAGCACCGGGTGCAGTATTGATTCCCAGGCACCCTCCTGTGTTTCCAGAAAAATGTCTCAGGGAAGTAATCTGAATTTCCAGCCCTTGAAATTCCTGTGGATTCACTGCTCTGTGGAGCCACTAGCAATCCATTCTATTAGAATTCTCTTGTTTCATCATCAAGACACGCCTTGACCTAGTTGTAGAAATTTAGGTCTTGTCTCAATTCTCCTTGAGACCTTTAAGACCCAAAGTCTACACAGTAAATGTGAGGATAAACTACACATCTTCTCTGTGTCTTATAAATTATGTGTCTGCATTTTTACATTACGAAGCAATAATTAATATAATTTTGTTAGAGGCTGTCTAAAATATAAAGTCCTATCAATGAAGAATGCATAATATTTCATCTTATGAAACAACATCTTTTAAGAATTAATGTCTTTCAACCATCATAAATAAAGCAGCAAGGAAGCTGCTTGTGTGTAAATCTTTGAGCACATCTCTAATTTTTCTCCAGGAAAGAATTTTGGAAACTTCTGTCAAATTGAGAGGTAATAAAAATATTCTCGCTTCATTTGAATTTCCCTTCTTATTAAAGGTTAAGCATTTTGCATCTGGTCGTTGCCATCTGTAGGTCTTCTCCTGTGAAATATCTATCCACCTCCTTTGCTTATTTGTCTGTTGCCTTAAATTTTTCCTATCTCGTATTGCATGTGTAATTTGTAATTAAAAAGCTGGTTTGGCAAAAAGGGCAGTTTACCAATGTGCATTATTACCATTTACTTATTTCTGTAAAGCTTCCACTTGAAGTTCTCCTTCATAAAAATGTCTAAAAATTTCCACTAAGATGCCATTTAGAGACCCAGAGAGGAGGTCTAAATACGTAAAGGTAGTGTCAGGCTGCCACCTAGCAATGCAATGTGGAACTGCCCACAATATCCGTTAGATTTCCCCGTATTCATAACATACTGAATACGGTAAGCATAAAAATGTCACCTTATGTCTTGAATCCAGAAAACCTGAAGACTAATGCCAATGAATGCAGAAACTCAACACTGCCCTCGACTCAGGGACAAGGTGTGCTACATATATCCCCCATATTTAACTCTTGTCCCTGTTGACCTTGACTGAAATAAAAAGAACATCATTCTGAAAGACAGGACAACTTGAGCCTTCATTCTGAGATCACTGATAATAAATGTATTCATCCTTCACAATGCATTGAGCCTCCCCAGGATTCATTTTCTATAAAACATAAGGAAATACAAAGGAAAGCTCTCCTCTCCACCCCCACCCCAATGGGTACCTATCTAGTGATGGGGATCAGAGAGAACTGTGTGCTTCCAGGGCCACGTTAGCTCTGTCAGGTTGCATATGACTTTATTTTCAAGCTTTACCTCTTCCTTGTCACTTTCCTTTCTTCCCCTTTCTTCCCTCACAGAGATGGGAGGAATTTCTCAGAATGCTTCATCATAAAATCACAACGTTGTGGTCTGGCAGGGGAGGATACAAAGTTGTGAAAATAAAGGACCAGTCCATGTACAAGTACTGTACAGAGACAACAGTCAAAGTCCTATCCACACAACATTTAGTGGCCACCTAGGATGTGCTACTCCTAACAATTCCTGGTCTTCCCAAATTTCACACCAGCCCCTTCCTGCCTTCCCCATGTCGGTTGCTTCCTCCTTCCTTCAACTGTGAATATTCCCCAAAGCATACTGCGTCATTTGCGCTGCTCTCCTCATATTCCTGCCCTCAAAAGAACTACTTATTTGCACATTTTAAATTCTTAGGGTCTGATTCAAAAATCTTTAACTGGTGGGCAGAACGCTCACTTGAATGCAGTCATGTATGTCCAGCTGCCTTCTGGAATTCTTGGTGGAATTTCCTATCTCAAAAACCATCCCCCTTCATGATGTAAAACTAAACACAAAATTTTGCCAATTTTCTCTCCAGTTTTTTCCCCCAGCTCTCTCACTCCTTCCATCCTGTCATCAGGGGTCGTTGTGGCAAGTTGTGATCACTGTAATCCCATTTCTTTAACCGTATAGAATGGATTCCATAGGAGGCTGGGATATGCTTCCTTCCAATCCGTATCTCCCCAGGCAAAAACCTACCTTCCCCCACTGTGCAGGACTAGCACCATTTTCTATGTGCACCCCAACAGAATTGCTGGTAAACCTCACTTTCCTCCATCCTGCCGTGTCTGCCATACTTAACATCTTCAGCATGGGCTGCATTGCTGAACTCCTAACTCTTCATTTCGGGATTCTGAGTCCCTCAGTATGACCTAAATGTTTCTCTTCACCCTCTCTATGTATTTTCCTTTCCACGTTGCCCTACCCAAATTCCTGCCCTGCAGCAAATTGATCTCCCTGATCATGTGATCTTATTACTCACAGTGTGGTTATGAACTTGGACCACTGATATCTTAGTGTTTTTTTGCGGGGCGTGGGGGATGTAATCTTTCTGGTCTTATGTAGTACTTTTGAAGCCAAAATTTCAATTTAAAAGACATTCTGAGCAATTCATGTGTACATTAAAATTTGAGAAATAGTAATGATATTCCCACACCAACATTCCTGTCTTTTTTTCTATCATTTCACCTATTTATTTCCTTAATTGCAATTCACAGTATGAAACCGCCTTCTTTTGTCTTTTCTTTTTTGTCCATCTCAACACACTGGGATGTAAATTTTGTGAGAGCCAAGATCCTTTCACATACAGCTATATTTTTCTAGTAGGTACTCAAGAATAATTATTGAATTAATAAATTCTGAGCTAATTCCTTTCTTCTCACTTCTATTAAGGCCATATCCCTCCTCCATCCTGCCTTCTCTACTCCCTTTCTCCTGCTCAGGTCTTACCCAGTCATTGACTCCTAACTTTAAAAGAAAACTCTATTCCAAACATTTCAATCCCACTGCTCCGCTGATTTCTTAGAATTTATAGAATTAATTCAGATGCTAATCACATACTCATCTCAAGAATTTCTTCTGCATGTGTCCAGTCTTAGCGACTGGAATGTAAACTTCAACTGGGAAGACTCAATGTTTAAAACATTTTTGGTATTTCTCAGAATTTACAGAAGGCTGGTAAATGCATTCACTCTGTCCAAAAACATAGAGTACCCCCTCAGAAAAAAGAAAAAAATTGGAAAAAAAATTCTGAAGCATGGTTTGGACAAATCTTTTTACAAGAAGACGGTAAACTGAGTGGATTCCATAGAAGGCTGGCATGTGCTTCCTGTTACAATTGGGTAAATGCATGTAATTAAATTTTTATAAGTTAATCACCTCACTTTTGAGTTGTGTTTTACATTTAAATGTTATTATGTAGTTGCATCACGATTACTTTGAAATAGCTT